TCAGTAAAGCTTTTTTTTTTTAAAGAAAAGTCATTGTTTCTATCCTAACAACATTTTTAAGTTCGAAGGCACACATCGAAGCCTATAACTTAAAGTATTTAAATAATACTTCACTATGTGTCATCTTTACTAGAAGAACTTGTCATATAAAGACTGATTTAAGGAGCTGGAATGAAGAGAAGACTCGGGGGCCCACGGCCGCCATGATAGCCCCTGGTCCTCACGCACCTGAAGGGCTGTCCTATGGAGAAGGGCGCAGATGTGTTCCATATGGCTCCAGGAACAAGAAGCCAGGGCAATGTGGGAAGCTGCAGAGGCCTAGAACTGAGGAGAAGAGAACCTCGAGGCCAGAGCTGTCCCCGTGGAACGGCCACCTCTAGACGTGATGGCTCCCCCTTGGAGCTCTTCAGACAGTAAGCAGCTAAAGTCCACATGTGGTTTCAGTCACAGTGGGCATTCCTGAGGGCTTCAAGGCCCCTTCTCTGATCTTTTAAAAATAGACAAGGGGCAGCTAAGTGGCACAGTGGACAGAGCACTGGCCCTGAAGTCAGGAGTCAGTTCAAATCCAGTCTCAGACACTTAACACTTAACCAGCTGTGAGACTCTGGGCAAGTCACTTAAACCTAACTGTCTCACCAAAACCCCCCCCACAAAAACAAATAAACAAACAACAACAAAAACAAACAAACAAAAAACCATAAATGCTGTTTAAAAAAAGACAAAAACGTTTCAGAAAGTCCTGCTTCCTCCTGTAATTACCAAAAAACAATTTTCAAATGTTAAAAATATGAAGAATTTAATTTTCAAAAATACAGAAGATACTTACTTATCCACGACAATGAAAATGAGTAGCATTAATAACCCAAAAGCGAAGCGATCCTAAAAGCTTTTTTCTATTCAGTTTAGGGAGGCCTTTTATGTAGTTTCTAATCGCCAGATTTCTCCCTGACATTACGGGTTGGAGGCAGCACAGTGTCCTGACAAAGTGCTAGTGCTGAGTTCAGAAGACCTGGGTTCAAATGTGGCCTTGAAAGTGAGGCAGCTATAGATGGAGTCAATGACTTCTGAGGTTACTTCCACTTCTAAAGAAATAATCCTGTACCTATGTTTTCCTGTTGATATAAAAATCAGTCTCCATTTCCTGAGCATACAAAGACTGAATAAAGAGAGGTCACTCAGGAAGCTAGCCTTCTCCACAGAGATATCACAAAGCTGAAAATTCAGGCAGAAATACTCCAAAGCTGTCTGTATACAATGATGTTAAAACCAAAAGTTGTAGTCACAGCGGACCACAATGAACAAAGGCAAGGAAGGCATTTTGCTCATTTCTAGTGGGGTCCAACTCTAGCACATCCTCTCTGTCCTGAGCATTTGGACATAAGTTAGAAGTCAGAGTTTGGGGGAAAGAGTGCATACAACTAATCTCCTCAAATTCTATATTTTTTACCTGAAGCAAGCTGAAAAGCACAGATTTTAAGCTATATTCTAGATATCTTGCTTACATATACTAATTTTCATATTTGATATAATAGTAAGAAAAACTATGCTCTCTTTCAGTACTAAGGAACATACTATTGTGCTGGATCTGGAGCCAGAAGACTTATGTTTGATTCTAACTGCAAATGCACTAGCTTTGTAAACCATGGGCAAGTCTTTTAGAGAGCCCAGTGTCCTTAGAAGCAAAATATAGAAAATAATATTTGCACTCTGCAAAACTTTAGTGTGATACTGGGTGCACTATCTTATCACAAACAAAACCGAGCAAAACTGAAAAGATGATAAGCAAGAATGAATTAATTAAAATGATATAGTTATACAGGGTGTTTCAATTAGTACAATTTTAAGCTACTTAAAGCTTATTACTATGTCTTTAAATCTGGAAACAACACATTTATTCAAAAACAACTATTACTAAATTTATAATCAAACTAAACGAAATGTATAACATAGGCAGTGAAACACTCTTATTCCTGGAAAGCTCTGATTAATCTCTTTTTCCACTGAACAACTTAACGAGTTAAATTTTTATTTGCAATGTTAAAAGTTCCAAAGAAAATCTAAATTCTTAACTGATGAGCATTTCTTAACCAATTAGCATTTCTGAAAATGATGCCTAAATGGGTCAGTATGATGGCATCCTACTTAAAAGATTTTATATTGGTCATTTAAATTATATTTATATATGGTACATTTTTAAATAAGAAAGCAGGAAAACTCCTTAAAAGTTTTAAAATTTCACTCTTGCATTTAAAATTTCACTCTTTCATTTCAACTCAACTCATGCATTTCAACTCAAAGGTGATGAAAAGTGCTTTACTTCAGAGAATTAGTTTTCTTAGAGCTGTACTGTTCATGGTGCATTACTTATGCAACTAATGGAAAAGTATTGCATTGCTTCTCCCCGAGCAATTGGCTTGCATAATCACGCAATGATCAGCTCACCAACAGGACAACAATTCTCTCTTCAGAAGAATCCCTCGTGAGCACGTGCAATGAAACAACAATTAAAAATCCATCACTAACGTTTTTGTTTATTCTAAGTCTTTACAACATACAGCTTCTAACTAAATTAACACAATGACAGCAAACCCTGGAAGTCAGTTCTGTTTACAAAAAATCTGCACACACTTATTAGATGCCTAATGCCAAAAGGAGACAGGAAATGTGATCATGGAGGATTACGGAATAGGGGTGAAGGGATGGTTGTGGTGGAAAGAAGGTAGATTTAAAGCACAGACATGACACATTATTTGGCCTCAAGGAGTTTCCAGGCAATGGGACCATCAAGGGGGCAACTAGGTGGCGCAGTGGATACAGCACTGGCCCTGGATTCAGGAAGATACGAGTTCAAATCTGGCCTCAGACACTTGACACTTACTAGCTGTGTGACTCTGGGCAAGTCACTTCACCCCAGTACACAGAGAAAGCAGCATCTGAGGGGGGTTTTTTTGTTTTTTTGGCCAGAAAGTAGATCTCCAAGGCAAAACAAACAGGGTAAGGAGGGCATTCCTGCCATAAGAAACAGTAGGATCAAAAGCACAGAGGTCTGAGAGGGGAACAGAAAGCAGCCCAGGTTGGCTGAGTACAGAACAGGTGGAAGAACGTTAGAAAAAAAAGCTAGAAAAGCAGGGTGAAGACATTGTGCAAAGTCTTGGACACCAGGTGAGGAAGTCTGAGTTTTGTTCAGGAGGCAAGAGGCAGCTGATGTGAACCCTGTCTACATGTAAGGGAGATGATTTTGGCAGTGATATCCATAGGGTGGTCTGGCACATGGAGAGAACAGAGGGCAGCCTGTTGGCAGGGCTGGTAAGTGAATGAACATGAAAGAAGACCAAAAGGAAAGCATCAGTAAATCCTCTGAACCTGACAGATGAGGTAAAGGCGGTCATCAGACAAAAGGAGAGAAATCTGGAATGCAGCCCAAGTTGAGGGGAAAAGATAAGGGGCTCAATGTTTTGGTTGCCTTTGAGATACTGGTGGTACGTACGGGAAGAAATCCCAACAGGTACTTGGAGACACGAGGGTGTGTTCACAAAAGAAGTCGAGAATGGATTCCTGTGGCTAGGTGCATCCACTGAAATCAAGGAATGAATGAGAGTGCCAAAGGAGAGAGGGAGAGAAGAGAGGAGAATGGTATAGACTGGTTCCAGGAGGGAAGAAAATGAAGAAGATTGCTCTGGAGAAAGAAAACGGTGAGCCAGGGGTGGGTGTCCCAGGAGACGGGTGTCTGATGTAATGACAAGACAGACCAGTAGGAAATCGTAGTCAGCAGTGACAAAATAACCTCCAGAAAAGTAAAGGAGAACAAGCTGAAAAAGGCCCCTGGGTAACTGGCCAAATTAAGTCAGTACTCACTGACGTCTGACAGAGCAGTGGCCAGGGGAGGGAAAGTAGATTCCAAGGGGCTGAGGACAGAATGAGGCAGGGAGGAAGTGCCACCATCAGGCACAGACAACTGCTCTGAAGAGAAAAGGACCAGGTTTGCCTTGTTATAAAAGATATACCCCACACCTACCATCATCTCCCAGCCCCCATGCCCAACGAGAGCCCTCTTGTTTTCTAAATATCATATAGTCTTTGGATCCTTGCTCTAAGAGGTTTTCATCATACAACTGTGCGCCTGTAGTTGACTTTTATTGTTACACAAATAACCATGGTAATGAATTTTTCTTTTGTCTAGACCTGTGATTTCAATGATGAAAGGAATGTCCAGGGAGAAAATTCCCTCTACCAATACATGTGTTACACAGTATACCATCTTAGGGAGCTGCCTGGAGGGTCACTGACAGGTTAAGTGATGTGCCCAGAGTCACATAGAGCATATATGTTGAGAGACAGCACTTGAACCCAGTTCTTCTTAACTCCAAAGCCAACCCAGACATCACACCGTGCTCACTTGTTGGAATTAAAAACAATAATCATATGGAGTATGAATGCAGATTAAAGCATATTTTTTGTTTATTTCTTTATCCTTTATTTTCCTTGTTTAATTTTTTCTGGGTCTGCATTTTCTTTCACGACATGACTAATGCAGAAATGTTTTGCATGACTGTACATGTACAACCTATACCAAATTGCCTGCCTTCTCGATGAGGTAGAGTAGGAGAGAATTTGGAGCTCAAAATTTTAGAGAAACGAAGGCAAAAAATTGTTTTTACATATAATCAGGCAAAAAATAAAATATTAAATCATTGGGAAAAATAGTAATCATAAGTAATTATAATAGCAATCATTTATATATCAGCCCTTGAGTTTGTAAAATGCTTTCCACCCTTTATCTCATAACAGCCTCGTGAGGTGAGTACTAGAGGCTGCCCCCACACTATCACCTTATGCCCATAATGTGCTTTATAAGGAAAAGCAATCACAAAGCATACAAGTAAACAGCTGGCTTTTCCATAAGCGCTTTGCTGTCTACAAAGAGACGTAGAGAATCTTTTGAGGCTAATGTTAAGAGATTATCATAACTAAAATGCAAAAACGTTTTATCAACTCCATACCTGAGGACGCCATCTACTTGATCTTTGGTGTAGGCCTTTCCACTTTCACCAGCAGCAAACGCACCGTCCTTCGTGTTGCTGGGCCTGCTGTGATCACTGCCACCGGATGGTTTTCGGCAATGTGGCCCGTTGGCAGCTGTGCTTCCATTTTTCATAATTGCATCCAGAAGCACTGTAGAAAGACAGATAAAGTATATATTGCCATTTCATTAAAGAAACATATACAACATCGTGTATGATATGCTTTAAGAAATCTGCGCGGCTAGTCAATTGAGATTTTTTTTAAATAGAAAGATAAGCACAGGTCCTCCTTAAACTGACAGCTTTCCTAGTTTCCAGAAAGACTCATTTAAATATTAGGGACTACTGGAAATTGAAGATCAATCAATTATCAATGATATCTCATCCTTTTCGCCTATCTGGAAAAGGCTACTAAATCTAGTAAAATATAACATTTAGAGTAGAGAAATTTATGTTTTCCCACAACTTCTACCTTTCTTTAATCTTGTAAAGTTTTCTGTTGTCTTAATCTATTAAGGCCCCAACAGAATTTCCTGTAATTTCAATCTCTCCTGTGGCTGTTCATATTGCCCCAGAAACTTATCGCTTTCTCCCAATGTTACATGTTCTTCCTCAGAAAGCAGTGTGCCTCAGGACAGGGAAAAGTCGGGATAATCCCCCTCGGACGCCCAGGTATTCAAGACCACAGGAGAATGAAGTGGTGCTGTGAGCCGGTGCAAGAGCAGGCCTGACAGTTCTCATACCTATACTCAGCAAGACTAGGGCCCCACTCCCATCTCCAAGGTAACCCTAGAAGTTACTTAGCAACAATGCCCTCTGTCTACACACTCTCATCCTTCAGCTTTTAGTTTTCCCCTTCTAGTCTCCCTCCCCCTCAGGTTCATATAACTGGAGTCCACACTATACAAATTGTGCCCTAGGCAGCTCCAAATCCTATTTGAAACAAACTGACTAGGCTGGGGCCTAGGTTACACAATCTCGACTGAAAATGACCTTGGACGGCATCTAGTCCACCTCTAAACCTAAAAGGACTACATAAAATGTTGGCTATCATCATCATCATCATCATCGTCATCATCATTAATCTTACAGGCAATAGGGAGCTACTCAAATTTTTTGAGCAGATGGGTGACTCAGTCATGCCTGTGCATTAGGAAAATGCTCTCTGCAGCTATGGGAGACAGACTGGAGACACAAAGAGAGGCAGGGAGGCCCTTCAGAGGCACAGTTCAGGCAGATGCTGTCAGAAAACCTGGACTCAGACTGTGCGGCCACTACGTAAAGCAAATCACTTCATCTCTTAGAGCCTCTGTTTCCCCATCTGTAACATAAACATGGCTTCAGAGAAATTTGGTCTGAATGACATGAGATCTGTTTCCAGGACTGATCCTCTGAAGTCAAGAAGCAAGGGAGACAACCCACGAGACAGCAAAGCTACAGAAAAATGAAGAGTAGGTGCACTCCGTGGGGCCCCCGCCCCATTATTCTTCCTCCCTCCTCCCATTCTCCCATTTGCTCCAGAAGTTTGTGAGGGTCCAGGTGCATGTGTGACCTGAGAAGGCACAGCAACTGCAGCTCTAGCAGCTAGTTAGAAAATTTCCCTTACTTTATTCTACACTCAGGACTTTGTACTGTATTATCCGAGCCCTAGAGAAATTCCAAGAGGGGTTTCACTATACTTAGGAAGTTGGGTGGTTAAAAAGCATTACAATTTAACAGAAGTGAATATGGAACTACCATCAGTAATCTTTGAGAAAACTGGAAAAAATGAAAAGCACATTAGAACCCTAGGGACAGGCAAAGGCCTTTTTTTTTCTAAATAAGTGAAAATGTAGATTTTTAGAAACTACAGACTAATGAGGTTGATAGGAGGCAACATGAAATAATAAAGCTGAGCTATACTTGTGTTTTATGACAAGCTGGAAGACTCCAGTTCTCACTCATCCTGTTGCTGCCACTAACTTGCTATGTAAATGATTTCTCTGTGATTCATCGGTAAAAAGAGAAGATTGGACAAAGTGATCTCAAAGGTCTCACTGGGACAGAAGATTCTATGATTTCATGGCGAGCCCAGGAAAAACTCAAAAATGTAGTATTATACAGATGTTTTGCAGGCACAATGAATGACTGCTAAGAGAAGGTCCTTTAACAGAGCAGCAGAGCAGGAGGAATACTACAGCTATGTTGTCCCTGGATTTTAGGAAGGCTGAAATTGTCTTATGAGGGTAGGTCCTTGTGGAGAAGATGGAGAAATACAGATTGGTTTACTATTTCAATTAGGTAGATAGATAGCTGATTGTCGCAGAGATCTAAATAATGGCTTAGTACCAATTTAAAAGATACGTTCCAAGGTGTATGGTAGAGCTCTATTCTTGTTCTTGTTCTGGTCAATGTTTTTTTTAAAAAAATCAACTTTGATGGAAATAGCGAAGGCTTGCTTATCAAATCTGTAGATGATACAAAGCTGGGACAGTCAGCTGTATTACAATGAGATGACACAGAATCATAGCCTAAGATTATCTTATGTGTTTAACAAGGGGCCAAAAAATGAGTCAGAATTCAACAGAATAAGTGTCTTTTAAAAAGTCATTTAAGTACATAAACTTGCCTTGAAAGTACTTCAAGCAAAAAAATCCTTGGTTTCCCCCCCAAAAGGAAAAAAATCAATGATAAAAAGTAAGGTCCCAAATACACTAAAATATCTAGAGGAAAGCATTTTTGTAGTACCAAACGGGGGGGGGGGAAGAGTAAACGTCCATTGTTAAGACTCTAAATGGTTAAACTCTAAATAAATATAACATAATATAACTGCACTGTAAGAAATGATGACTATGGAAGTTCATGAAGAAGGTGAAATCAGCAGGACCAAGAAAACAGCAAGCACACAGATGACAATATGAATGGAAACGTAAATAAAAATCTAAACTACAAGCTATGAAATTAGATGACTGAGCTTGATTCCAAGAAGAGACATGAGAATACGCCTCCTTCCCTTCTTTGCAGAGGTGGGCAATCACGGGTGTAGAACACTGAACGTAACATTAGACTTGTTTGACGAAGCGGCTAGTTTTGCTACTCTTGGGGTCCACCCCCACCCCCAATCTTTTTTTTTTTTCTTTGTAATTCTTTGTTATAAGGGGTGGCCCCTGGGAGGGAGAATAGGAGAAAATAGGGCTATCACTGCAGGTGACATAAAAAAATAAAAGATGTCTTTTTTTTAAAAAGGAAAATATTTAGGAGTTTTTGTTGACTATTAGATTAATATGATGTCAAAAGCAACTATGATATGTCATATGTCATATGACAGCCTAAAAATCAATACAATTTAAGGCAAGGCAAATCAATACAATTTAAGGCAAGGCTATACTATTAAAAGTAGAGTATTCTGATCAAGAAAGACAAAAGTTCCACTATACTTTGTGAGTCAGATTCCATTCTGGGTAACCAAGAGTGATGTTTTAAATGGACATCAGCAATCTGGAGGAACATGTGATAAATGGCCAAAGCAATCTGAGGTGGGATTTTTATACTGCAGAAGGGGAGGTGATGCCTGCCGCCAGCTACCTCAAGGCTGTGGAAGGAATGTACTTATTTTGTGTAGCTCAGAAGGGATCTAACAAAAATCAATGAGCAGACATCACAGAGGAAGAGCCTTAAGAGTCAACGTAAGAATGTTCTAATAATTGGAACTATCTAACAGAACCATCCAACAATTTAACAGGCAACCTCCAAAAGGAAGAAGTTTCTAGATACTGGAGGTTCTCAAAAAGATGGATGCCAAGGAATGTTGATGAAATTTTCACGTTAAGATTTAAAGTGGATGACGTGACTACTCCAACTCTAGGAATTTAAGATTTAATGAAAGAGAGAATGGGATTTATCCAACCAAAATTTCTAAAAAATGATGAAATTAACATTAAAAACTGAGAAATATATCTTTTCATATCTAGCTCCTACCAAGTCTCTCATATATTCTGGGTATGAAATTTGGATGAAATAATGTGAAACGATAAACTAAGTCACCATTAGGCCATAATTTCTCCCTAAAAGCACACAAAACAAAGCATTCAATTACACCTATATACCTTGTGCTTTCCTCTGGCACCGGGACCAAATATTCAGTACAAAGTACCTGATCAGAAAACAGTAAAATTCACCAAGTTCTCAAATTAACCTTTGAGTCTGATTTGTGAATTCCTGCCAGCTTAAAATTTTTATCTTAACTGTACCTGTCTAAAAGTAGAGAAAGGTTGTAATTAAAACTAATCAGAAACTTTTTTATATTTTAGTACTTCAGCTTTATAAAACATGCTACCTGTAGTCCGTTGGTACAGTAATGTCACATGTACTCGGTATGGGGGGAAGGTGTTCTATATTAAATGAATTTTCCAGATAAACCAAATTTTATTATATTAAGCATTCACTTTTAATTATTTTAAGGCAAAAAATTTTAAAACACATTAATACTCCTTATAACCTTAAGCTTGAAGAATATAATAGGCTATCATTACAAATATATATTTTTATGACAGATTATTGAGGAATGCAGATGTATTTCACCTGTACTAAATGACCCCAGACTGCTGTTACACACACACACACACACACACACACACACACACACACACACACATTTTAAATCTTTTTTATCATTTCATTCTGTTTTCTTTGGGACTGCTTAGACAGAATAATTTAAACTTAAATATAAAATGAGAAAAGGAAAAAAAAGTTGCCACGTACACAGCAGAACATAAGAGAGCATTCACTATAAAACAATAAATTTCCATTTCAAAAAACCTACATAATAAATACTACAAACTGTTTTCAAAGCTACTCAGCTTGTCTGCTTCCTTGTTGGTTTTCTTTTGTTCTCTGCTGTACATTTTTTAGTTTATTTTTCTCCCCTTCCTTCCCCCCACCACCTTAAGGAAGGCTACAATTAACCATGGATATACGTTGTTTGTATGTGTGTGTACACAGAGATCTATAAACATACACATATATATATATACATACACACTACATACTCATATATGTGAGACCATGCTGTTCTTATTTCCTCCTATCTTTATCTTCCTTCACAAGTCCAAGTCTTTCCATGTTTTTATAAATCAAACCAGCTCATTATTTCCTTCACCACAGCAATATTCT